GGAATGAACTTCAGCCATGTCTCACTGCTCAGCACAAAAACCTCAAAATGAGCAGACAGAGGCTCAGAGGCCTTCTTTATACCTGGTATTACCTGTACCTTACATCCATACTGCACGTGACAGGATTACATTCACAGGTAGGAAACATCTGTATACATCCTGGAATCTGATTTCAGTATGTATACAGGACCTTCCTCCAGATAGCTTTGAGCCCAACAGTAAATACCCCAGCTGGTTTGTACCCCATCCAGCCTGACAATCCAGTTTTGCTTTGCAAGTATGTATTTGCATCGCTTTATTTGAGCATCCCAAGTCTTCTGTTTACTTTGCGTTGGCTTCCTGGCAGGCCAGCACACAAAGGTTTATTTCTGTCTATATGGAGACTTCTAGCATTTACACATCGTTGTTATTGCAGTGAAATGCAAGTCTGACCTCTGTATGATTACACTTTATGCATATTTACAATATCCAATCTGATCGACCAGAATACTGTAGTAAACAATAACACGTCATGGTGAGTATACAGCACAGTGCTGCACATACACATGCAGTAACTGTAGTTGATAGCTTTTTGTATCCATAGCACAGGGAACTGAAAACTGTCTGGTACTTAAGGATGCCATCAAGTGTCTGGTCCGATCTGTCTCATTGTTTCATCAATCAGAAATTCAATTTAAATCAGAACAGTTCTATTTAAGTTGCTTTGGCATTGCCACAGCTCAGGCATTATATCGGCTGTATTGTCTAAAACATGATTCATGATACCCTGCCCTACTATTGGTAACCAGCATCCTAGCTACCTGCAGCACATTTTCATATGAGTGATTTTTAAGCCACTGGCACATTTTACTTTACGGCAAACTTCTGATTTTTTTTTTGTAGAAAGATGTGGCAGCACCACAGGCAGAGTAACAATTAACAACAAAGTCTGCCCGACACTACTCCGGGGCACAAAACCTGAACAAACTGCAGAGATGGCTGCTGTTTTGGTACAGCGAGTGTGGCTGCTGTTTGGCGTGCTGAGAGGATTCCAGCGATTCCAGTCTTAACAAAAACTAAGTCAAGGCTTTATTGTGAATATCAGCAGAGAATGCAGCATTCGCCCTCCCAGGCATATAAAACCCTTCCCAGAGACAGCGCTACAACATGAACTAGTACCTGTAAGACTTCCTCTAATGCTTCCATTCTATACTAAATACAGTGTAATTACAAGGCTGACACTGTGCATATCCTCCATCATCATTAAATTAGGGGGTTTGTGAAGATGAGAAATTGGCTGGGTTCAGCTTGGAGCCAGAAGAATCCTCATGGTAATTTACAGGACTCTAAATGGGAGGCCAACTCCTCTTTCATTTGTCTCTTGTACTGGAGCTAAATACATATTTCTGGCTGGGTTGGCCTCACAAGTGAGCCTAAAGTTAGCTAAAAGAGACAGAGAGAGAGAGAATGTAATGTAAATCTAAATAAAAATAAGCTTCTGTTTAATAGAATCATTGTGCAGTCCTCCTCTGACATTCTTGTGAGTGAAAATGTAATTATGTATGGATGTTTATGGGTTTCTGGATTGTTGGCAATCTACGTAGTCAACTGCAGCTCGGTCTGCTGCTGCTTCCTGTGGCTCGTAATCAGTAAAATGTGTTAATATCTCAGTTTGGAACAAAATTCTTACTCTCATATTTCTTTGCAATTGAGACTTGCATATCCAGTGATTGAAACAACACCTACTCTGACAACACGATGGCCCTGATAGTTAAGACATTTAAGGCTATATGGGTTACTTTAAAAGATAGCAGCATTTATTCTAACTTTTAAGCATTGCAAAAATAAACCCTTCAACATTTAAGTCATTGTAATGTGAAAAACTAAGAGCCTTAAAATTTGGAGATTTATAATGGTTTTAAATGCTGTAAAACGTACGCTAAAATGTGCTACATAATCACACATCACACACACAGATCCAAAAAGGATCTTGAGAAGTATAGATTTCTTAGATCTTTAGCCAATATTGTCAAATTACACACATGTATCAGACTAGCTGTAAAGTCCAAATGTGGCAAAGGACTGCGATGTGGGTGGTTGGTGGTTCCAATCCAAAGACTTACAGGACACAAACCGGCCAACAATCAAGGCAAGAAAAGCCAACAACCTCTAGTGGAGCTGCTCTGTAGCAGCCACCAGTAGATCACTGCATCTCTAATGGGAAGTTCCAGGGTTACTGGCCACCTCAAGCTAATTCCCCTTAAGACATTAAAGGTTAAAAATTAACAAAGTATTGAAGTCATACTGTAAAGCAGTCGCACCTCTGAGATGATTCAGAAAGGAGTCAGAACAGGTGCATTTCCTTCTCTCTCACTGTCACCCCCTCTGCAGAATGCATGTAATATGAGGATGGTAAATTCCTACAGCCAAAGGCAGGGACTCTGATTTACATGCCAGTAAGATGACTAGGCTTCCCGATAGACTCCAGAGCCTGATACTGAGTCAACACTAACTGTATCAAGTCTCTGCAATGACAGCAAGGAAAACAAATGTTCATCACTGAATATTTGAGGGGTCAAAACCAGCGATTATGAGGGTCCTGCCACTTTGTTGGAGGAGTGTTAACAACTGTGTCCAGTCTTTGTAATCCACACTCTCCGACAGAAAATAAATACACATTTCGGTGAGGTAGTAGGTAATAAAACAGGCTCCAGGTCCTCATATCCCTACAGCTGCTCCTTCTTCCGTCAACGGGGAGCCGGTTACAACACCAGTTTGTGCCCCTACTCTCAGCCCGCTCGGAGCATTTTGACTGAATAAACTGGTTCAGAACCCAAAAAGTCGGTTCCCAGCTGGAACCAAAAAACAGGTTTTCCTATGGTTGTGGGTGTTATATACTACAAGTTGCTGTGCATCCTTGATTACAATCTGGGGCGGCAGTAGCTCAGTGTGTAGGGACTTGGCTGGGGAACCAGAGGCTTGTCGGTTCAAGTCCCACAGACCACAAAATATGGAAACCCCAAAACCTGCTCATGGGGCGCCAGTAACGTTTCAGCCCCATCACTACACTACTGAAGTGTGCATTTCAGCCTGTGTATGTGTATAAAAAAAAAAAAAAAGAGTGAAAAGGGGATCTATCCTACCCTATCAATAATAATAAAGATCAATAAAGTTGAGAAACGCAGGCTGGTTTCCAACACAGTATGGTTCCGAGAACCAGAGCTTATTTGGGGGGAAAAACACTAGATTACAGGTTAAAACTGAGAATCTAAGATGAAACATTAGTGTGGGATCAAAGCATCCAATATTATTGTAGGTGCTAGTGCGGGTGTTAATACAGGTTGAAGCAAAAAATCATTTGTCAGGTGTCAAGTTGGAGGCAAAAGATCCATTGGCAATAATGTCAAAAAACTAAACTTTAAACTGGCTACTGAGCATCCTCGCTGGAGCAGTTTCTATACAAATTCTGACTGAGTGGTATACAGTCCAAGTAATCCTGGAAGGGAAGAAGATGTGTTCCACCACCACGAAGCGACTTCTGAGCAAACCTATGGGTGTGTTACAACCAGAGGGCGGCCATGTTTATGCGCCTGGTCCTTTGAACGTGTTTAAGTGGGTGAGGTCAAGCGAGTGTAAATGAATTAGTAGGCTACTGTTTTCCTTCACATGTGTGCAGATACTCCCACCAGCATGAAAAATAAAGCTTGTGCAGAACTGGAACTTCCTTGATGAAAAAAATAGCCTCGTAGAGATCTGAGGTGTGTCTGTGCGGCCAGCCTAACTTTAAAATGCTTTTATTGTGCTTAATGGAAGGTTTATCTAAGATATTGGCAATGTAATTATCCAATATGGTCAATTATCAGGATTTATCATTTATCTATCACCATAGTTATATGAAGGGATTTTATATTATATATGGGGTTGTGTCATTTTGTACTGATTAATCAGGCAAAAGAATTAAAGCTGCAGTAGGTAACTTTTATAAAAATACATTTTTGTCATATTTTATTATTTATTTATGTCCTTATTTTTTCACAGTATGCTGACAGTAGTACATGAGACAGATAATCTGTGGAAAAAAATAGATCCTCTAGCTCATTCCAACGCTCCAAATGGCATTTGCAAGAATCCACCGGGCCTGAACAAAAGCAACCAATCAGAGGCAAGAAAGATATAAAGACGCTTGATCATAGTGGATTGGTGAGTCTCATTCCCAGTGTCCCAAAGCATCTGTATTTGACACTATGGGAATAAGACTCAACAATTACCTATCTTTCTCGGCTCTGATTGGTTGTTTTCATTCGGGCCTGGTGGATTCTAACAAATGTCATTAGGAGCGCAAGCACGAGTCAGAGGAAAGTGATTTTTTCACAGATTATCTGTGTCATGTACTACTGTCAGGATATAGTGAGAGTTTCAGCAAACATGACAAAAAATATCTTTTATAGAAATGACCTACTGCAGCTTTAATACATCAAATGTATCCTAGAGTGACTTCTGAAATGCTTGAGACAGCTTACACTTTATCAGCATGCAGAGGGATTCAATATCATTCAACATCATTTTCCCAAACATGTACAATATAACAGGGATAGTAGCCTATTATCTTTTTAAAATCTGCTAAATGATATTGTTTGATGGCCTTAATGTCTTTAGTGCTATGTAGAAAGTTTCTAGTAATGTTAGCGTACTTTGTTTTGTTCTGCTTTTTCTCCTGTAGTTTGAATACGGCCCACATTATACTTCATCTGCTTTTGTATAGTATCAGTTTACATTTCTATGGGGCAACTGAGTTCGTCCTCGCTATCGCTGAGTTCACAGAAACGTGAGAAGTTCCCACATTTGGCCCGACAGCCTCTGAATAATGAGGGATGTCATGGCTACCAAGCAACAAGTTAAAAGCCAGCGTCCCTCAGCCATTAAACCACCTCTCCCAGTGTAAACCGCACCGAGAGATACGAAGTAACGCCAGAGTTAACACACAGTTAACGACGGGCTACATTGTAAATGACTCCTCTTACCTCAGGCAGATGGAGCTCAGGGTGAAGAAGCAGCGGCTTTCGGACGCATAATAATCCTCCTAATGGACGGGCTGGCAGTGTTTGGAGCTGGGCCGAAATGTCCTTCTGTAAAACTTTCTGGAGGCTACTGTAGGCTGCAGTGGATGAGCGGCGGTGTGGCCGTCCGCTAACAGGAGGGTTGAGTGCACTTTCTTACAGTTGTTAGTGTTTCCCAGGACAACTCAGTGGGAGGAGTCTGCAGGAGGGCTATTGGGGCTGTTACCAGCTCCATTTGCACTGGGCTCCTATAAGAGTTCACTTTCTGACCGGAACCAGTTCAGTTTCAGTTGTCAGGTGGGCCGACGTAACTTCAGTGATTTAATTATTATTATTTTTAAAGGCGACTTGAATTAAAAGTAGCTGATTTTTCTAGATAAGGGGAAAGTGCTGCGGTCGCTTTTCAGTGGCAGGATGAAGGTAGCAAAACCTTGTCTTCATCCTGTGTGTGTGTGTGTGTGTGTGTTTTTCACAATAAAAGGAGCAACTTCAAAACATTTTGCACATAAAGCTGGCTGATGCAGGAAACTGACATAAATAATATCCTTGAACTAAGAGAAGGGGTGTAAATTATTATAAGAAATGTGTTTGTAAATTACTAAAATGGTCAGATCATCATAAGAAACACATGTGGCTGTTCTAGCCTAAGCCAGGGCTGCCCAGCCATGGCCCACCATGAGGTTGTCCAGATGATTCTTGTGGGGGAAAAAAGAGAAAATATTCTATTGTGAGACTTTTTACAGAAAGTCTGTCACGAGAACTTGGGATCCTTGTACCGTTTTGCGTCTTGTTTTGTTTGTGTGTGTGTGTGTGTGTGTGTGTGTGTGTGTGTGTGTGTGTGTGTGTGTTGTTGTTGTTGTGTGTTTGTGTGCCGAAACCTCCATATTACACAGGCAAGCCCAGAGCAGCCTCGCTAGAGAACTGGACCCCCGGCCGGCTGTAGGGTTTGACGTTACAACTGTACTCTGCTTTTATTTTGAAGGCACAGCTCAAAGCCACAAACGATCTAACTTACTGCTGGACGATTGACCTAGAGCTTCCCATGCTTCCAGAAATAAAGAAGGAAGGCAGAAGTATAAATAAAGTGTTATTGCACATGATGTCCACTTCCAGTTGTAGTTTTATTGAAACAGTTTAACTGAACTTTGATTCAGACTCAGTCTGGCATCACTTTGTTAAAGTCACTAAACACTTTCCAGCTGCTCTGCACTTTCTCCACCGCTGTTCTGAAAGAGCAACTATATATTGCACTCTGTAGGACTGTTAGACTATAGTAATACTATGTAAGGATTGAAATGCATTAACTTGTAAGGTCACAGTACAGACACTGAATATTTGAAATACTAAAGTAACTTCATGCCATACAGTATGATAAGGTCACTGATTACAGCAGACACATTATATTAGCCTGTGGAAATAGGCTGCCTTTGCTTTCTTTTCCTTTCTTTTTCAGGTTAGTGTGTGTAGTAGTGGTCCATGTTTGTGGTCAAATGTTAACCAACTGTAATTAAAGTGTGAATCACAAATATTTCTGTCCAAGCATTGGCTGTTTGTAATGCTCTGTAGCATTCATTGCCATCTCATCATGACTGTAAAGTACCTATCACCTTTGTGGCATAGGGAAAAAACTCCTGTGGTTTAAACTGCCCTCTGCTGGTTCAGAAGGCCTCCTGCAGTGATGTCTGAAAGCAGGGATGCGCATTATAGAATCCAGGGGACTTGGTTTGAAGTAAAGGCATCTGAACTTCTTTAATGGTACACGATATTTTTGTCAATTCCAGGTGTAATGGGGTCTTCTTAGGGAAAAGTAGAATTTTTTTGCTCTAAAATGATCTACTCCTTTCTATTTATCATAGACTCATTAAACACAAGAAAAGCAAACTCAAGAAGAGAACTGTTTTATTTCACAACAAAACACCTCATGCAGTATGTGTGCTTGACTAAAATGCTCTCTTTATATTCAGAAATGATCCCCTACCTGTGATAAGCACTGTTAAGCATTCAAATGCCTCCATTCCTCAGCAGCCCGCGAGTGTCTAATGTCTTTTACTCAACATATGCCAACCCTCCACAGACATAAATTGTACAAAATGTGATTGTTGTACACACACAGAAATGATGCAGTGTTTAGAACAACCTTACTTTTCATCGGGTTTCTATACATAAGGGCATGTATGAGTGCAAAGCAGGGAGGCTTCATTCCCTAGCTTTAGCTGACCTAACAAAGGTGTGCTGGTTATACCTTCCATTATCTTCCTTCAGAAATCAATAAGATTCATTAGAGCTTCTAAATAACGTCACATATTCGAAGTGGGTAAGACAAGGATGTGTTTAAAATCATTCCTCTCCAGAGCACAGATTGTTCTCCTTTTTGAGTGACGTGAATTGAACAGAGGGTTTATTATGTGGCTATGAAAAATAAAAACATCCAGTGGTTTTCAGCTGAGCCTGGCGAGCATGTGAGGCCATACTTCCTTATGAAATCACTGTTAATAATGTCAGAACGACCCCTGAGGCGGGAAAGAGGGAGTTTTGTATGAAGCAGAGAGGGAGTCTTGATGGCTGCACATCCTAAAAGATTTCAGCTACTGAATTCTAATTTCAGTCCACATTGATGGCTGGTCACGTGTAAGAGCAGGCTGACCTATCAGAGTCAGACGAATGTTAGTTCCCGACTCAGAATCTAGGTTTGAGTCTTTCTCACTGCACTCTCAGCATAGCTTATCTGCTGTTATGCATCATAACTGTGACAAAAGCATTACTGATGAATCACACTACTGTCTGCTGGCTTTACAAATAACAAATAAATGCCTGTTGCCAGAAAGAGAAAAGCACAGTAAATACCCAGAATTCTGCCATCTTCAGATGCAGCAGGCAGAACATAGAGACTTACATTAAGCCAGATGGAGAGAGGAGTATAAAATAAATATTAGATTTGTTTTATATCATAATGAAATTGCTGCACATTTGAGGAACACTGGTTATTGCCTTTTAAGTTTTCAGGAAACACAAAAATGAAAAGGCTGATGATTTTGAAAAGCATAAAAGCTGTTATGTCATTGGTTGATTAAATAACGCATGTTGGAACCTCAGAAGTGCGCAAATATTTAATGCTTTGGGTTCTTTTTTCCAAAAGTGATATTATATATTATATATTGCAGTTTTGACTTGTACTCACATCCTATAGCAGGTAAAGCTACAAATACGTACTATACGGCCAACTGTATTACACTCTTTACAGCTCAACTTTCTGCAAAACAAGCTGGTATCTTGCACCTCATCAAACACATGCACTCAGTGTTACAAACACACCAGGTATACGGTTTTCCATCAACGTATGTGAAATTGAACCACAGAAAGGTTGTTTCGGAGGCCCAGCAGGCAGCCCAGCCTTCCTCCCATCACAAGCGTCTGAGCTCAGAGCTTTGTGTCTGTCTTCCACCTGTAACCAGCTGAGGGTTAGATAAATGGCAGGTGGTATTGAAAAGAGTCCCCATTCACTGCCATGCTGAGCTGCACTTAGACACATTATTGCAGTCTGGAGGAGAACTGGAGGGACGTGGGGGGAATGTTGAAGCAGGGCGGTCTGCAGACTGCCAGAACATGAGCGAGACGGGGGAAACAAGCATGATACAAAGAAGTACATAGCTGCCTTTGTGCGGCGATAAAAAGACGTTTTGTAAGTTGGAGGACTTGGATGGAAGAGGATGGAAGAGATAGGGCTGAAAAAAAAACCAGCCAGAGTAAACACTGGGATAGAGAGACAAAAACACTCTAGTTGCGAGAGGAAGGAGGAGGGAGAGAGAGAGAAGGAGCGAGAGGCATATCATTTGGCTGAAGTGCCTTCAGAGTGCTGCATACACACACTGTCTCACAGTTCAGTGGAAAGCCTCTTACAGCAGCATTGTCCACATTTCTTCTCACTTCAATTTTCAGTTCCAGTTTAATTTGCATTACATTAGAATTCATAAAATCAAGAAAATATCAGAAAACAAAATCTTAGCTCCTAGTGTGTGTGCGTGTGTGTTTGACAGAGATTGTGGGAGTGTGTGTACTTTTCACTCAGTTTGGGCCGTGAGGATTTGGTTGTTTTTCTTCACTTAAAAGCTGCGCTGAGAAACTTTTGCTGCCCAAAATGGCAGCAAGTGGGAAACTCATGGAACTGTTTGAACTTCAAATTATGTAACATTTGTAAATAAACTGCAAGCTAAGTTGCCAATAAACACAATTATGGCCAGTCTGCAATCACTTTGTGTGCTGTTTAAGTTTTCACGCTTAACAGTTGAATGTCAGTTCCCATTATTTTAAACCAATATCCACATGAATAATAGTTGGCAGAATAATCTCACCAAGTTTAGTAGCTGTTCTGGAGCGTTTGATCATACCGAGTTTCATCAACAAATGGAGTTTGCCCAGTTGTCAAGAAATTTAAGGTCCAGTGTATAACATTTAGGAGGATCTATTGGCAGAAATGGAATATGATATTCATAGGTATGTTTTCATTAGTGAATAATCACCTGAATATAGGAATTGTGTTTTAATGAGTAATCTTGGTCTACAGATGCCACAGGTCGCCTTCCCTGGAGTCCGCTATGTTGAACCGCTATGTTTCTGCAGTAGCCCAGAACAGACAAACCAAACACTGGCTCTAGATAGCACCTGCCACGCTTTTTCAACTTCGCGGCCACCATAGTTTCTCCTATACACTTCACAGCCCGTGGACCTTTAAGAACTTCTTACCCATGTTGACTTTAAAGTTGAGGTTCAATGTTACATTTTTACCTCAGATGACAAATCAGTCTAATTTTTGCCTGAAATATCTACAGAGGTCTTCCCTCCAAAACAAACACTCCTGGTGATTAAAATAGGTAAAAACACTGAATAAAGGAGTTTCACCTTTAAAATCAGTGTTTCCCTGATGCTGTTTGGCAACGCCCCAGGTTTCATATGTTTCAACGGCCGGGGGAAAGGGGGGTTGAAGCAAGTGAGTTGCAGTCTGCAACTACACTGCTAGATGCACTAAATCCTACACACTGGACCTTTAATATAAAAATACTGATTAGTGCAGCTTTAAGTTAACTAAAATCATCTATTTGAGAAATGTATCAAGGCTATAGCTAAGAAGCTGTGTGTACCTATTCGACTTGTATCAAAAAGAAATTA